TCCTTATATATATATATATATATATATATATATATATATATATATATATATATATATATATATATTTATATCCCTTATATATATCAAAAAATTGACATGGATCGCCAGATTCGAGTTTTCCTCACTTCCCGCCATTAAATTCCTTCAATTGTTAATTCTCCTCAGTCGAGATTAAATTTTCCGTGATTTGCATTAATATAGCATAACTACTTTTTTATTAAAAAAAAGCACTCCTGTCGTTTGCATACGTTTTGACGTCTGTAAAGACCGGCGTCCGTTAAATCTTAATGCACTTGTTCTCTGCGTAGCGTCAACGTCAAACAAATGCCACCGTAAAGAGACGTGGGAGCGAATCCGCCGGCGACCGTCGAAATTGAGCTCGCGAAACGACAAGAACTCGCAGGACGTGTGGGTGAAACGCGAAAGCGTACATACGCAAACGAAGAAAAACGACGACCAGTACTCGCAGGAAGCGGTGGACAGCAGTAGCGGCCTGGATGACTCCTTGCCGAGGATCAAGGCGCCCCGGCCTACGAATTTACCGCTATGTGAGTCATGTTTAGCGTATCTTCCGAGTTTACCTCCCACGCATCATATCGGGACTGTTATCCTTTTGCTTTCTCTTTTTTTCCGTTTTATTAGATTTAATATACGATTCGCTTATATCAAAAGTTTACTTTATAAGCCTAGTTTTATGAAAACATATAGTAAAAATAAAGTTTTCGTAAAACCTCTCCATAAGAAGTAATATGTATCGATTTATACAAGGTATTCGGAAAGTCTGATGATATGTTGATTAAAAGGATTAAATATTATTATATTATTTATCATGTTTTTACTTATATTATTAAAATAATGATAACGTAACGTTTAACATATTCAATTAAAATTATTCCTGCGCCACTATTCTTCTCGTTCTCACGCTTTACAATAGTTTGTTTCTGTTTGGTTCTCCAAGGAGAGAGATAAACTTAAATGACGTTCAAGTTTATTTATCTGTTCATCCCTCCTTCCATAACCCGGGGGGAATTTACAAATATCTATACGTCACACCAACTCTAATCTAAACGATTTTGCCGTGTTTCTGCGACAGGCTTGTCCACTGCGAGCAGTTCTTTGAGTTCTGGCGAGCTGCTCGAAACGCCGCCCCGGGCGCCGTCATCACCATCCGCGGCGAGTCTTCAGCTGAAGCCGGAACCTTTAACTGTGGAAATGGGTGGAAAGAGCAGCAGTGCGCCATTGCTGGAGAACAACGACGCCGAGGACGCCAACAGAAAGGTGCCGGTGAGTCTCTTCTTTTTGTCTTCTATAACTTCTATAAATAACCTGTATAGAGTGTCGGTCGTTTGTATCGTAAACACGTAACGGTCAAGCCGCCCATGTTTACATAAATCGGGGCACGTCTAAAAACCAGTTGTCAAAAGCATAAACTTGTAGAGATAGATTGTACGCTACCATTAGAACTGGAGTCAGCACTAGTCAAAGAGCAATAGATGCTCTTCTTCTCTAATTGTTTAATTGGTGGGGAGAACGCAAGAGCGCAGGAATAATTGCACGATGAACGCGTCCTCTCTTTCTTTCATTTTCTCTTTTGTTTCCCCTACATCGCCCCTTCCTTCAGTAGACGGGGCGAGATCGGATGTAATTGGCTTATTAACTGTATTTTGTTTACATTTTTATTGTGAGAGGAATAGTAGAAACAACGTTGCTTGCAAAATATTCCTTTCAGGACACTTTTGGCACTTTTGCCTGAGTTTCATTAACATTGAAACGGTATTACACGTAAATGGTAGGAACAACTGATTTGGAAGCTGCCGAGTGTGTTCTCGAGCATCTCGACATTTCGTATTAATACTCTCCATAGTAAGTGAATAAACTTAATTAACGTGTTATTAGTTAAAACAAAGTTTTCTGCAAGTATATAATACATTGTTTCGGGAAATAAAAGCAATTTCCATTCATAAAATAGCTGAAATTAAATATGGATGGACGAAGTGAAGTTTATCTATATTTAAGAACTAGGAGACCATAGAAAGACTGTGGAGGTCTCTTGCGGAGAACCGGGAACTATTAATTAGAATAATTCCTAAAAATGCTTGTAAATATCATATGCATTGTTTCTGTCAGAAACCATCACCCAGCTAACCCATCCTAACATAAAACAAGTAACTTATGCTATACAGAAGAATATCGAAATTTTGATCCTACTTTTTCCAGTTGTTTACTATTCCATTCAACGCTTATTTTGAAGCCTATAAAATACAACTTATTTTGATGCTAAAGAAAGTGAAAATTTCAGACATTATCAAAGTAGAATCAAAGTAGATTGTATCACTAGAATTAAATCTACTTTGCTAACTTAGTGCCTACTGCGTTGCAGGATTCAAGGTTTAATATAGGGTCAAAATTTCAACTCGAGTATGCTCCTCCATTTATTACGTGAGACATAAACTTTGTGACAACTGACCCGTGTGCTAGACCCTCCTCTCCTATTTCTGTAGCAAATTCTCGTGAAATTATTTAACATATACAATGAATCTCTAGAATAGGTAACAGAAAGGCCGAGGAACACCACACACACGACCCTCTTTCACATATCAGTAACGTCTCCCTCTCGAAGGGATGACGAAGAATTGCATCGGTGCCAATTAAACGAGGCGCGCTGGTGTAGTAGCGCCGTTCAGCCGGTAACGCGACACACACTCACTCCCCCTTGTCGTCCTTGTTTATATTCTGACTGCTCTTCTTCAACGCGCAACCTTACGTAAGCGACATGCGACTGACGTCAAGTCACCGTCGACTTGAATCGCCCCTTAAAATATCGATAGCTAACTCGAGCATGACTCGTGGAGGAACGCTCGCCCTCGGCGTTTACATCACGGCTATCGTCCTGGACGCGACAGCGGGCATTAATCGCGCGCGGCAGCGGAGCGTGTAGTACGGCGCTCGGTATCGAGATTACCGGCGCGGTATCGCGGCTACACGGCTCCGTACCCTCGGCCGCGGACACCACGAGTTCGGCGGGTTCGCGTTTTACGGGCCGCTATTAGTCTCTGCCCACGTGGTGAGCGCACGTCTCCCGACATTGACTATCATCCCGCCACGTCCCGTCCGTGTAGCTCCGCGCACGAAGCTGGGCCGCGGCGCAGAGAGCCGCGAGAGTGTCGTAAGATCGACACTTTGTTGCCACGATGAGCCCTCGATGAGGCCCTTTTCCCGACAGGTATGCCCACCTGTTCCTCGCGCGGGACGGCAGTTTCTCGCGAACCAGCTCGTCGCTCCGCGCCATGGGAACCGGTCGAGCCGATCTCTAAGTCACGGCGCTAGATGCGCGGGCGCGCGTCATTGATCTTCTATGATTAATCGTTCGTGGGAATAATTAATCTCCGCAAGTCGCGCGGGCGGTCACGACGCGACGGTTCGTCGACAAATTTCGGCGTAGGAGTCTGAGGAACAAATTAGCGGCCATTGCTTCAATGGAACGGATATTATTTACTCATTGGTTAAAAATATTTGACATTAGTTCCTCTAAAATTCTCAAAATATCATTCTTATTTAATATAAGTAACTAGAGATTGTTCTCTGCATCTTTTTGTAGATTTCAAAACATTTTTTACAATGTTTAGATGAGCGCAACTTTGCCAAAAGTAATTTTCACTATTAGTACACTTAATGATTCGAAAGTATATTTCTTTAATTTCTAATTAGGTTCATGTTAATATGACATCTGGTTATTAAGTTATGAAAGAAAACCCGAATCTGGCTTGGAGTCAAACGAATTGGTTAGCTTATTTCGAGTCAAATTCGGGTTATCACGCAGAGTGGTTAATTAACCCGAGTCGAAATTTTGATGCTACTTTGACGCTATTAAGGACGTTTACGTCTACTTAGATGGTTTATAGCCTAGGTAAAGCCTACTTTGACGATATTGAGATACTCATTAACTTCTTTTTTGAACTTTTAACTCTACCTTGTTAAAATTTTGACGTTACTTTGATGCTTTTAAAAATAGTTTGAGCCTACTTAGATAATCTACAACCTAGGTGTAGATTACAACAATCTATTTTGACGATATTGATACTCATTTTCGAGTCAAAATGTTGACCCTATGTTGAACCTTGAATTCTATAAAATACATATATTCTATGTAGAGCTAAAGTTTCTATAGGGTTCGCAAATTTCTAGAGGTTTGCAACTGAACCTACTTGCTATGATCCTACTATTATATAACCTACTTTGACGCTAAAGAAAACGAAAGCGGAAATTTCAGACATCATCAGGGTCAAAGTAGGAGTAAATTATATCGTTAGAATTAAACCTACTTTGCTATCTTAGCTCCTACTGCGGTGTAGAATTCAAGGTTCAACATAGGGTCAAAATTTCGATCCGAGAAAAAGCTCAAAAGATGCGTTCCATGTGAGAGTTGAAAATCTTTCTTTGTACTTCATGTTACATTTGTAACGTACGATATATTTTCTTTTTTTATCATCTATAAAAAGAAATTGCAATTCACGTTGGAAACAATCTGTGAACACACTATTAGTGCAGATTAATATTTGATGCTGAAATATTGCGCGATACGGGTGCACGTTTCTAATTGGCAGTTTATTTTTCTGACGCGACATTTACACGAAAAAATATAACAGGAGAGTCAAGTTCAATTTGCGATTCATTGTTCGAACATGCGCCTGTTACCGAATTTCCGCTACACTTTGTCAGCAGCGACGACGAATAACTGAATTTCAGTTTTGAGTTTCTGTTTTTCCCATTAAAAGGTGCTGCGACGCGACAATTAACTCGTTATTTATAATGAAATCTACGAGTGTAAATAGACGAGTAGTTAAATAGGTCGCGTTCATTGCGTTCCACGCAAACGTTTTCCAACGTTCCTCCCTCGTTCTTTTGCTCTTTTCGTGTCTTAAAACTGTCATTCGTTCTCCATCTCCTCCTCCTCTCTCTCTTTCTTTCTCTCTCTTTCACCGCCTATACACGCGAAATATCCTGCATCGTGGAGATTCTGTCATCCACCTCATGCGCGAGAATCGCGCAAGGTCAGTCTTTGACGAGCAAAAGCGTCGCTCCGCATGGACGCACTTGAAGTGGGCCGAGTCGATATTCTATTTGCTTGAAGTATTTTCGATGCGACCGATAGCGGGACACATAAACTTGTGCGAGTCCAGCGCTGCGCATTTCGCATTCCGTGTGCGCGAATAGGTCGCAGGTCGATCTTTGATGTCGCAGCAGCGCGAGCGAATCGCTGCGCGAATTTATCCCCGCGGTTTTCGTAGGACGGTGGCCGCGTATGCAAATTATCAATGAAGTGTCAGTACACGAGGAGATTCGCGCTCGAGTGAGCGCGCTGCCTCGGTAAACACCCGCCGGTCGCGCGTGAACACCCGGTACCGGATTGCCCGTGTTGCTGAGCGATCAAAGCTAATGGGGTAGCCATCCGTGGTGGCGTATTAATCGGTTGGCATCCCTCGAACCTCGAATATAGCCACAGCCGTGTGTCTGTCACGTACGCGTGCACGAAGGCTGCCGTGGAAAACTTGGGCTTTCTCTCCCTCTCTCTCTCCCTTCCTCACCCCTCTCTCTCTTTCTGTCTCGGTGTCCCTCTCTCCTCCATCTCTCCCGCTCTCCCCTATCCAGCTCAACTTTAAATGTGCATTTCTCTCTTGGAAATCGTAAGTGACGCACGGGTTGTTTCCTCCCCAAGCCGCAACGTCTGTAACGATTCAAACGCTGTACCAGAAACCTCGCGCCTGCACACAGATAAAAGTTTCTTTAGATTTAGTATTTGTACTTGTTTGTCTAACAAAATAATTCAACGGTATCAAGCAACACTTGTGTGTATCAAGTAGCATTTCGTTCAATTAAATTAAATCATGTTGTTTGCTGAAAAAAATACTATTATTTAAAGAAAATGTTCAGTCGAATAATATATTTTGTTTGGTTGTATCTAAATTTGATTCGTTGGACTAAATCATGTTATTTGATTGAGTAAAGACTGTTGCTTTAAATGTTTCGTTTTTTAATCCAATCTATTATTTATAGTAACTAATGTAATATTTGGTTAAAATCCAAAAACAATCATATCGTCGCTAAGATACATATTGTATCTTACATGTATCTTAATATTTTTTTTTTTCAATAAAATGAATGACATAATTTTCTTCTTTAAACCAAACGATACACGATAGATAAACATTATCTGGAAAACCGGAGAACAATCATACTTATTGATTGAAACATTAACTTCTTTAAACTATTCCAATGATCAAAATTGTTTGGGTGCAAGAAAACTTATTAAATCCAAAGAAATCTTTTTCTCGCAATAAAAATTTTGCTTGATCATTGATTTGAGGTTGCAGGCATTGTCAATTTTGCATTTAATGGACGAATAAACAGAGCGCTGAATTATAATCTTTATTGTAACATTGATATTCACAGCTTGAAATGCGAGCGCGTTGTTTAACCCTTTTCGACCCCTTTTAAAGAAAAGGTCGCAAAAGTCGATGGTTTTTATTTCCAATCTTCGTGAATTTTCTTATAATTTGAAGTCTCACGGGGATTTTCATTTTCTTATCATCGAAACGGTTATTGCGGTTATCCGCGGAAACACTACAGAATAAAATCGAGATCAGAGATATTTGTTTTGAAAGCTGCTGAGAGATTGCAGTGACGCAGTCACTTTTTACGCGTTTATAATACACGCTTCTCAGAATACAACGGGTCAAAAGAGATATATTTGAGCACGTGGAGAAATATTCAGCTAAAGCGTAACGAGCTTCTCTGTCTCTCTCTCTCTCTCTCTGTCTCTCTCTCTCTCTCTCTCTCTCTCTCTCTCTCTCTCTCTCTCTCTGTCTTTCTGTCTCTGTCTCTCTCTCGGCGTCACATTGTCTCGTCTCTCGTACTCGTGGACGTGGGACGAAGTGACTCGGCAGAGCGAACAGAATCCTGAGAAACGACATAACTCTTGTTTGAGAATTTCGCGGGACCCTCGCTTTGAAGCCTAGCGAAAGTCGTAAAAAAGAAGAGGAAAAGAAGGAACACAACCACGCCTACTCGGTTTCGCCTGAAAAATATTCGACGGCGATGTCTAGGATTTTTCAATTTTAGTTTTTAAATATACACGGCGCCAATACTTGGCGAATATCCGCGACACTTTTACGATCGCGTAATGGCAATCCCTTTTTGCGGTCACGATTCACCTCCTGATCTCGCCCTCATCCCGGCCGAGCTATGTTTGCATTATTCTCAATATGAATCATATTTAATGACGGTTTCAATAACTGAGCCCCGAAGAATAACGACGGTACGATTGAGGAGAGGACGGAACGCGAGATCTCTCTGAGATTTTACGACGATATTGCGCGCAACGTCACCGCTTCATCGAGTCCCTCGGCAGTCCTTTTACGCCGGCATCCCCATGAATATTTTTCCTCGATTTAAATACTTCTCTCATGCTCTTTTCGTGCGTTTTTACCTTTTCTTTTTCTCCCCCTCGGCGATTGATTTGACGTTTGCCCTTTTCGAGAAGCGAGAATGCATCATCGCGTTTTGCATTGCCGGGTCACTCAGGCTTTCCCCCGATTTTTTATCTTCGCGGATATTGCAAGATTATCGATCGAGACGGGGTGTCCGTTCAACGAGCCGCGACACTGATAAGGTCACGGTTGCTCGTTGTTTTCGAGGCCGGCCGGCTCAATACAGCAAGTGGGTCATGGTTTGACCGCACCGATTATTAGTTATCTCCCGTTGCTAGGAAGTACGATGCAATTAGGATCCGTCGACGACGGACATTATCGGGCTTCACGTGAGAGACTCGACCGACCTGATGACCAAGACGACGTGATGGCATCGTTATATCGCGACGTGATCGCGTTAATGCAATCGTTAGGCGCCAAGCCGAACGATTCGATTGAAGTGCTTTGATTTATACGTACGTCCCGATTAGAAATTTATCCCATGGCCCTGATCAGGTTAACCTCAATCGGTTATCAGGTCCAAATAAGGTAATACTATTGGATTCTAGTAAGCCACGTAACGCAGCGTGGATATTACATTAAGAGAAATCATCCGATAAAAAATTAACAAAGGGATATTTCCGAACAAAATACCGATAAATTTTTGTATCCGATTAGGAAATATCTGATGAATGAGAAATATCGGTTCATAATTTTTTGATCGATTTATCTTATGAAATGCCATTATGATCGGAAGTATCAAATTACATTTATTCGAATATTCTGATCAGATATAAAAATTGACTGGAAATATATTAATTTTTTATCAGATAATTTCTCTAGTGTAGAACTTTATTAAGGATTCCTAGTAAGATCCTTATTAAATTATCTTATTGAATACTTATCATATTTTATTTCATATTAAGGAAAAGATTAGAATTATATAATATGAAATAAAAATAGTACCGTAGAAATGTGTCAATAATTTGCCAATTTTTAGGTTTCAATACAATATTCATATTATAGAATATAATATCATTGCACATTATAATGCATTGCAAACTTAGAAACAACTTCTTTTATTAACAGTTTCTTAGTAATTTGTATTTAATTATAATAAAATAATTTTAATAAATTGCGGTTTGTTTAAAGCTTATATGAAATATATGCAAATTAATTACATAAATTTTTGATTACTTAAAATTAAGAAATATAGAAAAAATTTTGTTAGAAATAATTGTGTGAAAATAAAATATATTATTTAAACCCATTATAAACACAAGTATATATAAGTATACATGAATATAATTATACATATAATAAACGTATAAGGTTAACTACAAATGGCCCACGTTAAGACCTGATAATGCAAGCCACAATAGGTAGAGTGAGTAAGAATCCCGACAAAGACCCGGGATCAACCCGACCGTATTAAATAATACACTAGGTTGGTTTAGGGTATATTAAGGCCATAATGTCGACTTAATCATTATAAACTCACAAAGGTCTTCCTTATTCAATTGTTTTCAGAACATTATGAGGTGTATCATATTTAGGATTACTTTACATTTTCCCAGGCAGCTCCTTGTATCCAATATCAGGTGTATACTTGATCAAAATTCCTAGTCGGGGTGTTGCAGCACGTATTCTCGGCTCGCAAACCCGCAAAACGTTTCGCGTAGCGCACATGCGCGACGCGGTTCTTCGAACCGCTATCTGCGCCGCGTCGCGAAACAGGCTCTACTAGTTTACTAAACTGGTCGTTAAACGGTAGAACCGATTCATCGCGGCCGATGTGCTTTTCGCGCGCGTCAGTCTGAGAAGTACTTGTCGCCGCGGCGCACCTGACCGCAGTTAAACGCGTCGTTCGCGCCGCTAAAAGCGCTCCTTTCGGCCGCGTGCCTCGCAAGCACGGGGCGACTTCTCTCGTGCCGTTTCTCATGCCAATGATACCGTTATCCATTGCTTTCAGAGCTTGCAGCAGCAGCCGCGCTCGCAGTCGGAACGTCAGCTATCAGGTGAGTTTCTCCGTGAACGAAGCAACTGTTCCACGATATCAGCGAAGTCGTTTCATTGCGCCGCTTGTTCCTCGTAACTATCCCTCCCTTTTCTCCTCTCTTCCCTCCGGCTCGCTTACGGACTTTTTAACGACGGCTTGTGCAGTTTGTCTCCGCGGAAAAACGCTCGAGTGTTCGATTTCAAGGCGATATACCGGCGGCCCACGCGCGCGCTAAACTTACGTACACGGAAAGAACGATTTCGTAACAAGTACCAATGCTCAGTAGTTGTTGCTGAATTATTCAGTCAAATAATGCGAACCAAATACAAAATGATAATTGAAATGAAATGAAATGAAACAATTTAGAGTTATATTAGTAAATGTATAGTTCTAAAAATCAAAATTTAGTTGCTTGAATTATTAGGTCATTAAACTAAATTCTGAAAGTTGATACCAAGTCTTGGCAGCAGAAAATGAGATATTTGTTAACTAAAGTTTGTGCCCGTAATGAAAACTATTTATGTATTTTTTTAAATTTTATTCTAAACATCTTATTGTACTATTTAAACTACTTTAAGATATATATATTTTTAATTTTTTTACGTCAACGTTTTTTATCGTGAAATTCCTTCCGTGATTTTATTCGATCTTATAATGATCACTCCCCGTCCTTTCTCAGAACCGCTCACCTGATGCTTTACTTTATGATCGAACAGAAACTGGTAAGTCCCACGAGTTTTATGACGATATCTTTATACTCACACTTATAATATCTTCTTATAACTTTCAAGAAACGCGTGACAACGCTATATTTAGCAAATATTGGAAATAACTCAACAACAGTCGATATATGATGAATATTACTAGATGATATATACTACTGATAAAAAAAAGTATGAACTGATATTTCTCATTGGATATTTCCTGTTTGGATACAAAAATTCATTGGTATTTTGATCGGAAATATTTGTTTATTAATTTCTTATCAAATAATTTCCCTCAGTATATAGATATAATTTTGTGTCGATTCTCTGTTCTATTTTCGTTCAGTAAATGAGTTCAGATTCCGCGTATCTCTCGTTAGCAGTAACTGCGGGAAAAGCATTACATCTTGATTAAGACTCCAAGTAGTTTAACTGTTCAGTTGCCAGACAAAAGTTGACATAACTGTCTGGCGACTGCTTGAAAAGCGCGTTAAATTTTCACCAGGAACGTATATATAGCTTTTTCGCGACGGTGTCCTCTCTCGATCCGCGGCTGATTACATTTGAACAACGGTTGTCAGCTCACGATGCCAATTTGCCATTAATTTACGTTCTCTCTGGGATGAGATGGGAACGCGAGCTCGACACGTACGGTAATGAATATTGACATGTTCGATCGCGAACGAAACCGGGAACCGGATGTCGGGTGGCCGGCCCAGATCGATGTCGATCTCCTCGGACAATATCGCTCGACCGTTATCGTCCGATAACAAGTTTAGCGCATAATTAATTCCCCTCGCGGAAGAGAGGTAGAGAGAGAGAGAGAGAGAGAGAGAGAGAGAGAG